TTTAGAAATGAGGCCTTTATCAGAGACACTGGCTGTGAAACTTTTTCCCGGCTTTCTGCTTCCCTTCTAATCGTGGTTGCATTGGCTTTGTTTCACAGGCTTCATTCCAACAGACCCCCTCTTTTGCCCTCTTTTGCAAGGGACTTTCTTGTCCAGGGATGCAAGGAGGAAGAGTGAGCTAGCTGGAGCTCACTGTGGAAATTCTTAGCTTCACAGTTCTGCACAAAGGATGTGGCCTAGAGAATTGATGACCAGGAAAGAGGTCTCCGGCTTCTCAGGGCTGTGTCCTCTGTCTTTGTTGTTGTCCCACATGGGCTCAGAAACTGAAAGAAAGGGCCTCACTGGTCAACTAGTCTGTCCCTTCATTTTACAGATGAGGAAACTGAGGCACAGTGAGCTTGAGTGACTGCCCCAAGGTCACAAAGCTAGCATCAGGGAACATTGGAACCCAGGTCCTGCCTTCAGAACTAGTGCCTTGCTCTTTTCCTCTATTTTTATTTTTTTAGGCAATTGGGGTTAAGTGACTTGCCCAAGGTCACACAGCTAGTGTCAAGTGTTTGGTCTGAGGTCAGATTTGAACTCAGGTCCTCCTGACTTCAGGGCCGGTGCTCTATCCACTGCGCCACCTAGCTGTCCCACTCTTTCCCTCTTTAGCAATGCCTAAAACGAGGTAGTCCTATTTCCAGTTAACAGGAGGGTAGGAGGGGTGGGGAGTAACCCAAGAGAAGTCCTATATTCAGATTCAAAGAAGCCTGCCCAGGAGCGAGCATCCAGGCAACAGCTTTTATATGAAAGTGTTCCAGAGCTTGAGGTAAGGCTCTTTACGAGGCAAAAAATGGAAAACCTGCCTTGGGGGAGGCCCAGAAAGGAGTGACTTAGCCAAGGTCACCCAGATAGGAAGGAGCAGGACTGGGTCCTACACCTTGAGGAAGGTGTGAACACACTCTGCTCTGGAAGGAGGGCTTTCTACATGGTGAGGGATCTGGAAGTGTTCATAAGAAGGGATATGGGAGCGGTCCTCAGATGTTTAAGGCTTACGAAAAAGTAGGAGAAAAGTTCTCAAATGCAAAGTCAGAACTACCCCAAGCTCACACTCAGAACTCTTCATAGGGGCATTGCTGGAAGGAGCCTCCAAAGCCATTGGCCCAACGCCCCCCACCCCCCACCCCAATTTTACAGATGAGGAAACCAAGGCCTGGAGGGGGCAGTAGTGAGATCCAAGTCCATCATCACCCTCCAGAGGACAAGCTGGTTGGTAAGATCTCCTGCTATCCCTCAATGCAAGTGTCCAGTCAATGAACATTTATTAAATTTTCTTGTTTTTGGTTTTTTTGTTGGTTTTTTTTTTTTTTGCTAGGCAATGGGGTTAAGTGACTTGCCCAGGGTCACGCAGCTAGTAAGGGTTATGTGTCTGAGGCCGGATTTGAACTCAGGTCCTCCTGAATCCAGGGCTGGTGCTCTATCCACTAGGCCACCTAGCTGCCCCAATGAACATTTATTAAGCATCAGCTGTGTACCAGGGGCTGTGCTCTTGCATGGCGGGCACCACTGAGGGCAGTTCACAGTAGAATCCTGAAAGGTCTTTCTCGATTCTGTGTTCGGGGATTGTCATCTTGCCCAATCTGACCTTCTTTGGTTTCTTTGTCAAATGAGGGTAACAAACTTCCTGGCAGATCATCTTCATGAGCCATGATCCTGCCCTGCCCACCGGGCCACATGGTCATGGAGCTGCCGGGGACCTCTGGATGGGTCTAACCCCCTTATTTTAAAGGAGGAGGAAACAGGCCCGGGGAGGTGAATGACTGAACCAAGACCACCCATCCCATCAGAGATAGGTCTGGAAGGGGCCCCAGAGACTGCTCATTCCCCTCATTTTACAACTGAGAAAGCAGACATAAAAGTGCTTTGCTTAAGGTCACATAGGAAGTCAGTATCAGAAACAGGATTTGAACCCAGGTTCTCAGTCCCATAGTGTTCTTTCCACTGTAGCATGTCTGCCTTCCCACATTGGCTCGGGAGAGATGAATCTAGAACACAGAGAAGATCCTCCCCAGACAGCCTCCGCCCAGTGAGGACAGGTCTTTGACAGGCAGTTATCCAGGGAATTTCTGTCCTGGTCTGGAGAGGACCTGCAGCTGCCAGGGTTAGACTCTGGGCCTGTCCAGACACGGATCCTTCCCCACCCCTGCCTCCTTGGCCACAGCACCACTGCCCTCACTGCTTCTGGTTCAGTCCTCTGACGCCAAGCTGAAACAGGCTAAGCCCTCCTACGAGAGAGCCTGCCGGGCAGCGTGGGGCTATGCCTTTGTTGGCGGCAAAGCCTCTGCACTCACTCCCTCTCAGTTCCCTACACAAGATGCTATTTGCCGTCCATCTCTGAGCATTTCTCTGGCTCTCCTCCATGCCCAGAATTCTCTCTTTCTTCATGTCCATCAAAGGGCTTCCCTGGCTTCCGTCAAGTCCCAAGTAAAACTCCATCTTCTTCATTCCCCAATTGATAAATGGTCAAAGGATATGAGCAGGCAGTTCTCAGATGAAGAAATTAAAGCCATCTCTAGTCATATGAAAAAATGCTCTAAATTGTTATTGATTAAAGAAATGCAAATCAGAACAACTCTGAGGTACCACCTCACACCCATTGGATTGGCCAACATGACAAAACAGGAAAATGAGAAATGTAGGAGAAGATGTGCGAAAATTGGAACACTAATGCATTGTTGGTGGAGTTGTGAAGTGATCCAACCATTTTGGAGAACGGTCTGGAACTATGTCCAAAGGGCTATAATAAAAATGTGCATACCCTTTGACCCAGCAATAGCACTTCTAGGGCTGTATCCCAAAGAGATCATACAAATGGGAAAAGGACCCACATGTACAAAAATATTCATAGCAGCTCTTTTTATGGTGGCAAAGAATTGGAAATTGAGAGGATGCCCATCCATTGGGGAATGGCTGAGCAAGGTGTGGTATATGAATGTAATGGAATACTGTTGTGCTATAAGAAATGATGAAGAGGCTGACTTCAGAAAAACCTGGAAAGACTTGTATGGACTGATAATGAGTGAAGTGAGCAGAACCAGGAGAACCATTATACACAGTAAGAGCCACATTGTGCAATGACTAATGTTGACAGACCTAGCCCTTCTCTAAGGCATCTAAGACATCTCCAAAGGCCTCATGATGGAAAATGCTATCCACATCCAGAGAAAGAACTATGGAGTTTGAATACAGATCAAAGCACACTATTTGCTCTTTTTTTTCTATTGTGTTTTGTTTCCTCTTTTTTTATGGTTCCTTCTATTGGTTCTAATTCTTCCTTACAACATGACTAATGTGAAAATATATTTAATAGGAATGTATAGGTATAGCCTATGTCAGATTGTATACCCTCTTGGGAAGGGAGGTGGGGAAGGAAGAGGAGAAAAATTTAAAACTCAAAAGCTTATGGAAGTGATTGTTGATAAAGCAAAATTAATTAAAAACAAAACAAAAAAAATCTACAAGAAGCCTTCCCAAATCCCTCTCTTAAGGTTTTGGGTTTTTTTTTTTAATGTATTTCATAGGGCAGCTAGGTGGTACAATGGGTTTGGAATCAGGAAGATTTCTCTTCATGAGTTCAAATCCTGCCTCAGACACTTACTAAGCTACATGACCCTAGGCAAGTCTCTTAACCCTATGGCCAGCTATTTCAGTGTCTTTGCCAAGAAAATCCCAAATGAGGTCAAAAAGAGTTGGACATGAAACAAAAAATTAATGTCTTTTTAAAAATTATTTCATCAAATATTTCCCAATTACATTAAAAGGTTTTTTTAACACTCATTTTTAAAAAATTTGACTTCCAATTTCTCTCCCTTTTGCCCCTTCCCCACCCCTTGAGAAGGCAAACAATATGTAAATTATGCATATGAAGTCATAGAAAACCTGTTCCCGTTAGAGCCCATGCCCTCAATTACAATGCTTTCTGTTAACATCTTCTTCCTATTCTGCATAGAGCATTGTTTGTACATGGTCCCCTCCATTAGTGCTGAGCTCCTTACAGGTAGGGCCTGTCTTCTGCTTCTTTGTGTCCCTAGCATAGTGTCTGGTACACAGCAGGTGATTAATAAATGCTTGTTTTCCAAAGGATTTATCAGGAAATGCTCTCCTTCAGAGAAAGAACCAGTGGAGTCTAAATGCAGATTGAAGCAGATTTTTTAAACTTTCTTTTTTTTGGGGGGGGTGGCTGTGTTTTCTTTTGCTATGTGGCTAATATGGAAATAGGTTTTGAGGGGCAGCTAGGTGGCGCAGTGGATAGAGCACCGGCCCTGGATTCAGGAGGACCTGAGTTCAAATCTGGCCTCAGACATATAACACTTAATAGCTGTGTGACTCTGGGCAAGTCACTTAACCCCATTGCCTAGCCAAAAAAAAAAAAAAAGGAAATAGGTTTTGTATGGCTGCACATGTATAACCTACATCAAACTGCTTGCCTTCTCAAAGAAGAGGGAGGGAAGGTGCATGAAAAAATTTAAAACTCAATTTTAAAAAGTGAATACTAATTGTTTTTACGTGTAATTGGGAAAATTGATCATTTTCTAAAATGAATAAACAAATGCTTATTATTTTCTGAGCTTCCCTCAGACAGGCTGACAGTGTTCTTTCAGGACTGCGGGATGCTTTTGTATTTTTTTTTGTTTTTAGGCAATTGGGGTTAAGTGACTTGCCCAGGGTCACACAGCTAGTAAGTGTCAAGTGTTGGATCTGAGGCTGGACTTGAACTCAGGTCCTCCTGACTTCAGGGCTGGTGCTCTATTCCACTGCGCCACCTTGCTGCCCCTTGGGATGCTTTTGTATTCATCTTAATCACCTGACCTGCTTCCTGCTTTTAAAAGTCAGACTTGGCGGGAGGTCCCCATGTATCCACACCAACCTTCCTGTTTCTCCTAAGCCTCGTGTCTGTGGCCTCAGTCTCATTCCCATGATCCCCTCCCTTGGTTTGTTTCCCCATAGAATTGCTGGACTACAACCTTAGCCTTTCTACCAGACCTCTGCATAGCTTTTCCAAAACCTTGGATGAGTATTGGTGTGTCCTCCAGCAAAGCCCGACATGGAGGCTCCCTTCTCCCCCAAGAGTCACCTCCTTTCTCCTTTAGCTCCTGGGCTCCTCCTCCATTCTGCTCAGCAGCCTGCCTTAGAAAGTGACTCCCTCAATTACCTCCTCCACCTTCGGAAGGATCAGCGTCTTTAAGGCAGGCCGAGAACTGGCAACACGAGTGAGCTCCATCAGGTGAGGGAGGGAGGGAGTGGGATGAGTCACTGGGCCATTTCCTGGCCCTGGCTCCTTCCTCCTTTGGTGGGGGCCTGTGGCCCGCTGTGCCGTGGCTTCTTCCTCCCCCCATATACCTTTGCTGGCTCCACTTCACCCTTCAAGCTCCTCCCATGAGGATATTTTCACGAGCCACATCCCTCCACCCTATCTTTGATCTCTTCAGCTTTTCAGGAAGATTGATTTTTCTGCTTTTCCCACCCCCCCTTTTTTGGGCCCCCTTTGTGCTGTCTGATGAAGCCCAGGACCTCTGCTCACAATCATGATTTTAAATTCATAAAGTACATAATAAGATGACTAAGGAAACCAATGATAGTGAAAGTTACCCAAATATATCTTTTAAAAGCGTACGTTCTGCACGGCCTCCTCTGGCTGGAAGGGCAGAATCCCAGAGCCCCCTAGTCACAGGGTTATAGCTTTAGAACTGGTAAAGACGTAAGACACCGCCGAGTCCAACCCCTTTATTTTACAGGTGAGGAAACTGAGGCCCAAGGGGATACAACTGGTGTCCAAGGCAGCCTTCGATTCCAGGTCCAGTGCTGGGTCCTCTCTTCACAAGAACTCAACTTGGGGAACTGATTAGCATCGTCGTTCCTGATTTGCCGCCATGATTAGGCAGCTGTCTTGCTGATTGGGGTTGGTAGAGGGACTGGGCCAACCCCTCCCCCCCCCCCCCGAAATAACCATCACCTGGACAAGGGAATGCTCCCCTCCCCCCAACCTTTTCTACCCTCTTGCATCTCTGGGGCGCCAGGCCTCTGTAGTTGTCTTAGAGTGAAGGCAGCCTCCTTATCTTACAGAGAAGGAAACTGAGGCCCAGAGAGAGGAAGACGCTTGCCCAACATCCCGTAACTCGTTTGGCACTGCTGATACCATTCAGATACAAATCCTGTGGCTCCAATCCAAGCCTCAGAAGTGGGCAAGGGTGAAGACTCAAGTCCAACAACATGGGAGGTTTTCGGGGACCCAACAATTCAATGCCTCATTAAAAAACAAAATGGAGAATTTGACTATCTCATTCTCAGGAGATAGCCCCTGGCACACTGGGGAGGTGTATGGAAGGATGCCCAGGGTGCCGCCGCTAATGGAAACGCTCTGAGATATGTCCACATCCTTACATAGTTGTGATCCAGCCTCACGGTGTAAGGAGCTCCCAGTATGGAAGCTCCCTCTAGCAACATCCTGGGGCTTTGAGAAGCAATGACTCCTCTGGGTCCCCTAACTCTGAGTGTGGCAAAGGTGGGATTTGCAGCCTGACTCATGGCATGGACTTTCTGGGTACTAGGCTAGCTTTGGCTTTAGCGCTGGTGATGAAGGGAGTGCCTTGTGCCCACTGGCCAAAGGCCCCTGGAAGAGGCTCCAGGTTCAACTCAAACCAGCTCTGGTCAGAATCCTGTGCTGAGCTGGGTAGCCTCAGCTGCTCCCAAGAATCGTGGAGCCATTTGCTGAGTCCTTAGGCATGAGCCCCACTACAGGGTAACCAAGTTCGTCCCAGTGCTCTGGGCCCTCCAGCTGGTGGAAGGCGGGGATAGGAGCTGGCCAGAAGTCCCCAGATTGCCTCAGAGCCCTCCCAGGGGGCAGCTTCCCCTCCAGACCTCTCAGAGAAGGGAAGGCTGCTGGGAGAGAGGGCCTCCACTGAGTGGTCCAAAGGCCCAGCCATACAGTGTCTACCCATGTGAAACTTAACCTCTAAGTGGCCTACCTGGGGACAGCAAGCAGTCCATGGGCATTGGGTATAAGCTCCACAAGGCCTCCAAGTCAAGGTGATCAGGGCCAATATCTGATCCCCTCGGTGTCACCTCCACACAGCCTCAGGCCTTGCAGCAGTCCTCTGAAGCAGAGATCTGGACCATGAAAATGTATAGGGGGGCAGCTAGGTGGCGCAGTGGATAGAGCACTGGCCCCGAAGTCAGGAGGACCTGAGTTCAAATCCAATCTCAGACCAAACACTTGACGCTCACTAGCTGTGTGACTCTGGGCAAGTCACTTAACCCCAATTGCCTAGCCAAAAAAAAAAAAGGAAAAGAGAATGCATAGGAAGTAAAGGGCCCCTCAGGACTGGATGGTACAAGCCGCTGGCGTCTCCAACTTCCTTCCAAGAACCATGAGGCCCCTCTTTGAGTTTTAATTTAATCCCTAGTTAATTCGGCCAACCAGGTGTGGACTGGAAGGAGCCTGGGAGCCCATTTTACAGAAGAGGAAAACTGAGGTCCAGAGTACCATGGGCTCAGGGACCTTAGAAACCAGCTAGTCCAACGGCCATCCCTGAGGAAGTAAGCTCACCATAGGACACAGGAGAGCAGAACAGAGCAGCTTTGGTTCTGCCAGACCTGGTTTCAAATACAGACACCCAGCTGGTATAACCCTGAATCACATTTTTTCTACTAATGAGTGAGACCTTGTTATTTCACCAACACTGGGCCAAAGGGGCTCACCGCTAAACTTACCAGGCAGGTCCCACATCTACATGTCTGGCACCATAGCCAGAGACAAAAAGAGCCTGCCCTTGAGGGGCTTCTGTTCTATTGGGGGGAAATTACACATGTGTATGGTGGCCAGGAACCACGAGTGTGCTTCTAATCCCACCCCAGACATGACCACCCAGGCTAAGTGGATTATTCTTCCTCATCCTCATCTCTACAAATGGGGAGGAGGGGCTGGCCCTGTGGGGTAGAGACCCAAGAAGCCTCCTCATATCTGAGCACAGGTTTATTGGAAATAAGAAGCAAAGAAGTGACATTGGTGGTTCCTGATTCCAGTCTGGTTTCAAAGTACCGTTCCCCTACTTCCCCTCTCCAGGAGGCACATGAACTGAGGGAGGGAGATTCCAATTTTCTTCTCCCACCCCACCTTCAGAGCCCACATGAGCTCTCTCCACCCCACCATAGAGCCCCACAGCTGTGTCTCATGGATAGAACCAAACCACGTTGTGATTTCACATCTCCCTTTTTATTAACAAAACTAGGCAGCAAATTGTGAGACAGAAACGTGTACATTTGGCTCCCAAGTGGGATAGGGCTGAGGTCGCCCCTTTCCACACATAAGACCCCCCACTCCTACACATACACACTACCATAAATACAGGCGCCCTGATCACAGATCATGGGGGAGCAGGAGGGGAAGGTGGATGAGTCTCTTCATCCAGAGACAAATGTTTCTGTCCGGTTCTGGGACGTGGGGATGGGGGTAGGGGGATCCTGCTGGAATCAGGGGAAAGGAGGTGAACAGAGAGACCCACCAGCTAAAGGCCGCCTGCATCTGCTCTCTTCTGCTCCCTCTAAAAGCCTTCATAAATAAAACTTCACAGTAGCTAAGAAAATACCAACTCCCCAGCCTTTCCAGGTCACTGCAGCTAAGCGCCCACACCTGCCCAGGGGAGGGGGCCTGCGACCTGTGCTCCAGGGAGAGAAGGTGGCAGCTCCCTTCCGGCCCCAGGGCCGTGAAATCAGGCGCCGGGAGCCCCAGGTCCCAGCAGCTTCTGTCCTGGGCTGCAGGGGTTGGGAGTCAATGGCCAGGACATCCAGCATCCCAGGCGTGAAAGGATTGCATAAAGTGGAGCCTTTGAGGTAGTCAGAGTGAACCACTTCTCCCTCCCAAGGCTGGCAGGCTTTGGGAGGCGATGAGATGAGAAGCTTGCTAGGGGCTGGCTGAGCGTCCATGAGCTTGCCAGCCACAAGATGCACAAGTGGGTCTCTGTAAGCATGCAGGGGTCAGGGCTGTGCCCCTGGAGTCCAGAGAGGGGTTAGTGGTGATCAAGGTGGTTTTCTCTGCAGGCTTTTTTTGTGCAAGGACCCACTGCGGGGCTGGAGGGCCCACAGGACCAGCCTCAGCCTGCAAGACCAGCCACCGAGGCCCGGCACACCTGCCTATGTTGTACCTGGGGAGCAGAATGTCTAGAGCTGGAGGGGATGGGATGCGGGGGGGGGGGCCCCTAGTCCGTTACCCAGCTGCCTCATCCCCAACTCAAGAAGAGGCAGCTGGCTTTGCTTCTTGGTGGAAGGGGTCTCTTTAAAAAAACCCCAAAAGGCTGGCGAGCTCCCTGGCTCCTGCTCTCTCAATCCCAGCACCCGGGAAACCTGCCCAGGACTGGAGGACCCAGGGCCTCTCTGGGCACTTGGCGGATGCGTTAGGGTTGGAGCTCCTTCTCTGGCAGGGTCGGAGGCCCAGGCGGGCAGGGCCCAACCTTGCCCTCGGCCAGAGCCCCCGCAGACCTTCCAGTAGCAAAGACGGAGGTCTCGGCAGCAGGGCCGGCCGGCCTCGCCCCCTCTGGGCTGCGGGCTAGAGTACCTGGAGCCTGCGGGCGCAGGTGAGGTTGCTGTGGACCAGCTCCCACATGTGCAGCAGCTCGTCCGGCAGCAGCTTGTGCACCACGAGCATGGAGCGGAAGAAGCACGGCTCCTTGTTCATGGGGCTGTTCTTGTTACGCATGATGCCAAACGTCTTGAAGCCCACGTGGGCCACGGGCCGCACGTGCAGCAGCTGCAGGCACATGCCCAGGAAGACGTCGTCGATGGGGTACAGCTCCAGCGCCTCAGAGGCGCGGTGGAGGCGGCGCGCCAGCCCGCCGGCCATGAGGAAGCCCCCGCCTCCCGCGTACGGCGGGTACAAGGGCTGGCTGTACAGGGAGCCCGGGATGTAGTATTTGTTGTTCTTCTTACGGATGGGCCGCGCGCGGTACAGCACGTCCCCCACAAACAGGTCCTCCTCGGGGCGCCGGTCGGCCAGGAACTCCAGCAGATTGTCGGGGCTGACGTAGACATCGTCATCGCCCTTGAAGATGAAGCGGGCCTGTGGGCAGAAGGTGTCCTGCCACTTGAGGAAGTGCACCTCCTTCAGCGTCAGGTTGAAGAAGCTGTCCAGGAAGTCCCACTGCAGGATATCGCCGTAGACGCGGTCCTCGTAGGCCAGCAGCTGCTGGTAGTGGGCTCGCTCCTCCTCCTTGGAGGCCGTGCCCAGGAGGAAGAGGGTGCGCACGGCCCCCCGGCCCCCCTCAGGCCCCCGCTCGCGGCCCCAGGTGCGCCGGATGGCCTCCCGCCGGTCATGCTGGGCGATGACGGACTTCACGACCACCAGCAGGTAGATGTCCTCCTCGCACTTCCCGGGGTGATTTATCAGGATGGGGAAGTAGCGGCAGTGGCGGTAGAGCAGGAACTGCTGGAAATGATGCTCCAGGGCCTGGAACCAGGCCTGCCCTGTCAGGTTAGGGTTGGCCGAGCAGTTGGAGACTGTCACGTCCCAGGCCGGTGACCCTCTGGCGGGGGGCGCCGGGGTCACAGCCTTCCTGGGGAGCTTCCAAAACCCAATGGCATCAGAAACGCCACCAGTGGGCTTCGCGGACTTGCTGTGCTCCAGGCTGGACGAAGAAGAGTCCAGGAACTGGCCTGGGGTCAGGCCCCGCTGCAGCACCGTCAGGGCCGCCAGTGCCACCACGGACAGGCATGCCGAGCGGTAGACGGTCTTCTTCCTGGGAAGGAAGGAGGCGGGAGAACGTCAAGAGCCTTTCCCCACTCCCCTGTCCCCTGGCTACAGGCTCACCTGCCCACAAACTGCCAGCCCCACGGGGAGGAAATAAACATTTATGCAGTACTTGCTAGCTGCCAGCCCTCACACTAAGCCCTGTACAAACTTTAACTGGTCTGATCCTCACAACCCTGGGACGTAGGTCTTACAGCTGTTGGGGAAACTGAGGCAGCAGACTGAGCTTTAAGTGACTACTAAGTATCTGGAGCCAGACTTGAACTCGGAGTCTTCCTGACACCAGGCCCAGTGCTGTACCCCCCCCACACCTCCAAAGTCCCAGTATCGATGTGGTTATAGAATTTAGCACCTATGCTTTTCAGAGGAGGAAACCGAGGCCCAGAGAAGCTCCCTGCCACCTTTACTTCCCCAGGGCCCAGCCCGGGAACCTGGCGCAGGGTAAACGCTCGTTGACCAGCTCCCTTCTCGGATTTTCCTGGACCTCTTTGGAGCTGTCTCTCGTCCTCCCAGAAGCCATTTTGTAGCCTTGGCACCTGGGGACGGAGCCTCCTCAATCCACAGGGGATGGTAAGCTCTTGGGGGGGTGGGGTGGCGGCAGGCAGGGATTGTCCTGAGTTTGCCTTTCCATCCCCAGAGCCTCACAGATCATAGGCCCTTGGAAGTGACTGCAGGGAAAGTCTCAGCCTTCCATCTTGCCATGTGGGAAGGACCAGCAAAAGCTACTCAAAAAACTCATTTCCTCCTTCCCCTCTCTCCCGGCCTCCCCTGGCTCAGCCGGGTTCAACTGTGCTTTTTCTCTCTCTGCCCAAGATGGGCAGACCTCTGGCAACCCTGGTCTGGATGGCGGGAACACTCCATTCGCCTTCCATGCCACTCAGTACTCAGATCATGATTTCAGACACCCGACAAAAAAGCCTGACTGACTTCCCCAGCTGGGATGGTGGGGAGGGGGCGAGGATGGGCCTGCCTGAGGTTGCCTACCCAAAGGCCGGCCACAGCCTTCTGGTGAGAAGAGCCCAGGAGGGAAAAAGGGCCTCTGGAACCACTCCTCAGGGCTGGGCCCAGGCCCTCGGGCGCATGTCCAGTTAGCCCCTTCCCTGCTTTCCAAAATGGAGATGATGGGTCAACCCGGCCCCACTGACGCCCTTCCAATAGCAGACTGTCACTGCTTGTCTTGGAGGGGGTGCATTTGGGCCAGGTGGGCCGAGGGTCCTTGGGGAATGCCTAGCCTGCCTCAGTTCAACGATACATTTTGTTATATGCTTGGCCTAAAGACAGACCCTGCTCCCAAAAGACTTATAGTCTAATGGGGGTAATGAGAAGGCTATGTATGCAAGGTGACGATAATGCCAAGGACAGTGGGATAACTGTGTTCACAGAGCTGGAATCTCTGGCACAGAGAAGGAAACTTGGGCGCCTTAGGTCACAGAGCTAAGTGGCCAAGCTGAGATTCATCAAAATCATAGCTCCAAAGCTGGAAGGGCCCTTAGGAGACACCTAGATCAATCTAATTTACAGATGAGGAAACGGAGGCAGAACCTTGCCTCAGGCCACGCAGGTGTTAAGTGACAAAGTCAAGATTCCAGCTGAACATTTGACTTTTCAATGCCCCCATCAGGGATGAGAGATCCCAAAGCTGGTGCATCCAGCCACCTTTGGCTAGGGGCCCTTCGCAGCCTCGAGAACAATGGCTTTTAAGCCTTCAGGGGCCCCAGGAGCCTCTAATAACATCACTAATAATTAGCATTTATCTACCACTAAGGCACTTTTGCATGTTTATTCATACTCAAATAGACTCTCCAGAATTGGGTTTTTAAATGTATAAAATAGAATTGAAAGGAAACGAATTGTATTAAATACGGAAGTCTTTTTCTTCCCATCCAAATCCCAGATTTTTGGGTGCACCTCCCCCAGAGCTCAGGCTGGCCCCTGGGATCCAAGTACCAGTCACGCCAAGAGGTTCTCACCAGTGTGGCGGGGCCAGCTCCGGAGCTGAAATGGAGCTGCTTGGCTCCCAAAGACCTGACATGGACTTCTGAGTTTCTGGGATTATTCATGAAGCTGGAAGGGAAGTTCCGGGTCACCTAATCCAACCTCCTCTTTTTACAGATAAGGAAACTGAGGTTAAGTGACTAAAGGTCAGGAGGCAGCCGGTCCCCCCCTTCCCGGCCCAACCTCTCTGGTCTCCAGAGGGGAAGCTGAAGTTCACTATTCCTGCCCTCGATGGCTGGGGTGTGGGAATTGGGATGGCAGGAGAGATGGGGGCAGACCGCTTGGTCAGTGGATGGTCCTGCCAGGACCCCCAATTCTTGGGGGAGGAAGCTTCTCAGAACTCTGGCCACCCTGGTGTGTGTGTCAGGGAAGTGGTCAGGGCATGTGCGTCCTGAGGTACGGAGCACCTGTGCATACCCCCACAGGCTTGTGGCCCGATACCGGTGGTTCATGAAAGAGAGATTCAGAGAGAAATAGTGCGCCTGTATGTCTGCAACAGACAGTGTGCCCTACTGTTACTGGGTCCAGAGCACGTGTGGCTGCCTGAGCAGGACACCCCTTCTCTGCGCATATTAAGCTTTCCCTTGGAGAGTGGCCCTACATGCTGGGGTGGAGCCCAGGACCCCTCCGCTGTGCTAGGAGCGTCGTCAGAAAATGACCGGCATCAGTCAGGGGTCCTTTCCCTTATCTGAGCCTGTCGCCAGCTCTGTCAAAGGAGGGGCTTGGACCAGATGGTCTGTGAAGAGGTCCCTCTTTAGCTTTCCCATAGGGAATTGGACTTGGGAGTCAGGGAGACCTGGGTTCAAATCCCACTCCAGATCTCGGAGCTTGTGACCCTGAGCAAATCACTTCATCAAAATGTTATTCGCCACAATTTTAGGGATTGGGCTTTGATGGCTTCTTGGTCCCTTGGGATTCCATTTTGAAGCAGTGATCGGGGAGCTTGGCCCTCTTGTTTGGCAGAGGAAGAAATGGAGGATGGGGGGGGAACCAATCCTTGGTGACCTTGGGAAAGTGGGAGAGTCAGAATTCCACCCCAGGGCCTCAAGATAAGCTAACTTCGGAAGAGGCAGCCGTTTCTCCAAGCCCCCTCTTAGCCTAGGGCCACCTCTTCACCTCAGCTCCTCTCTCAATTTGTAAAACAAAAATAAGGGGAAGGGGGACTAGAGGTAGGTCAGGCCAGCAAAGGAGCCTCAAGGGAAGATTTTTCAGGAGAAACTCCATTCCCCCGCGGCCAGAACCAGTTTGGGCCAACCCAAGAACCACAAAGTGGCAGAACTGAAGGGACAGTGAAATTCTCCCTGATTTTACAGAAGAGGAAACTGAGGCTTAGTGGGTCGACTGACGAGTCTAGTTCACCAGATCCTAGGTTTGGGGGTAGCAGGGCCGTCTGGTCCTCTGGGGCGCAGGGAGCTTCATTCGCTTGGCCCAAAGAGTCGGAAAGGAAGAAAGCACCTGGACCAGATCCTGCCTCGCCAGCTCCAGATCCAGCCTTTCCCCCGCTGCCCAGGCCGGCTTGTTCAGCCGCTTAGTTCACAGATGAGGGAACCGAGGCCAGGGGTGGGGGGTGGTATGTTCGGTGCCTCTGAAGCGGGGGCAGGTGCCAGAGCCCAGGGTCCACCCCACAAAACAGAGCCCTCTCCAAATTCCTCCTAGCCCCTCCTGGCCCTGACTCCACCCCTCCGACCGTTGCCTCTGCCTTCGGACTCTGGAAACCTGAGTTCCCGGCGGCCAAGCCCATGTAAGGTTGGGAGGGGAGAAAGTTCGGTGGAGCTTTCCCAGAGCTAAAAAGCCCCTAGCTGCCAGGAGCAGGCAGGAGAGCCTGGCTGCGGATGATGACTAGAGCCTCCATCAGGAGCTCAGCTGTTCAAACCTCCAGCCTTCCTGCCTCCACATCGCGGCCGGAGTCAGCTGGAGAGTGGGAAGAGGACCCCACCTGCACCGCTACACCCCCGCCCCGAAACCTAGGGACCGGGGGGGGGGTTTCCCCCACCCGGGAAGCGGCAGGAGGGCAGACAGCCCAGGCTTCCTCCTCATTAGGGAGCCCGGCCCCAGTCCCCCAGCCCCTACATTCTCCCAAGCCAGGGGCAGGGTTACTCACCACTGAAGCATGCTGGGCACACCCGGAGGGCGGCAGAGTTGGCTGAGCCTGGGAGCCCGGGGAGAGGGAGGGGAGGGCTGCTCAGCTGTTGCTGCTGCTGCTGCTGCTGCTGCTTCTGCTTCTGCTTCTGCTGCAGCCAGGGGTGCTGGCTGCATGGACAGGAGAGAGGGACAGGGAGAGGGAGGAGACAGAAAAAGTGAGAGAGGGAAGGGGAGGGACCCAGAGGGAAAGAGAAAGCCGCGGATTCCTAGACTCTTTCCTAAACCTCCGGAGGCGGAGCCAGGGAGAAAGGGCCCCCGCTGGGAGGCAGGTATTTTAACCCTTTCCAGCCTAAACTCTGGCCCCAGGCACCTTTAACCTCTCCGGTGCCAGAGTCGGTCGCGTCACCCAAGCCATTAGCATTTCAGGGGCACGCTCACTGCGCGCAGAGCCCGGTGCTGAGCGCTGGCCGGGCCAAGACAGATGGAGTCTCCAGCCCTAACCTCTCTCCTAGCCTCGAGTCTCCAATCTCCAACTGCCTCTTCAACTCAAGCTGTGGGAAGCCGACCCCGTGGTCTTTGCCCCCCACCCCCTACCCTCCCTCTTCCTGACTTCCCTGGAATTGTCTGGAGAACCTCGGTCCGTCCTCTCGGTCCCCAGGCAAGGTTCGGGTGTCCCTGTCTAATACCTCTCTCTCTCTCACCCCCACGGGCTCCTTTGCCAAGTCCTGCGGTTTGTAGCGTAACCACACTTCTCGTCCACACCGCCCCCTTGTCTCCTCTGATCCCCCCCTTCCCCTCAACTACCCGGGGAGTAGCCGGCCGGGTAGGGCAGGGGTGGGAAGTGTACCTACCTCTAACCTCCCCACTCCAATCCAGCCTCTACCCAGATGTCACCTCCTATTCAATAACCTCCCGTGGCTCCCTATTTCCTCAAGGATCAAATAGGAAGTCCTTGGTTTAGCTTTTACAACCCCTTACAGGTTGTCCTCACCCCACTCCGACTAGCTTCCCCAGCACACACACGGCAGGATCCAGTGACCTCTGCCTCCCGGCTGTACCTCAAATTCTCCTGTCTCCTTGGGTTTCTCCCAGAGCCCTTTCTGACTTGCGATGACTAACGCTGATAGACTTAGCCCTTCTCAGCAATGCAAGGACCTAAGACATCTCCAAAGGCCTCGTGATGGAAGATGCTGCCCATATCCAGAGAAAGAACTATGGAGCTTGAATGCAGATCAGAGCATACATACTATTTGCTATTTTTTTTTCATCTGTTGTGTTTTGTTTCCTCTTTCTGGTGGTTTCCTCCTATTGGTTCTAATGCTTCCTTACAACATCCCTAATGTGAAAATATGTTTAATAGGAATGTATAGGTAGAGCCTATATCAGATTGCGGCGCCGTCTTGGAGAGGGAGGTGGGGAGGGGGGGAGGGGGAGAAAAGTTTAAAACTCAGAAGCTTATGGAAGTGATTGTTGATAAATCAAAATGAATTAATTTAAAAAAGAAGCCTTCCTGAGTCCTCTCAAACCTGAGGCCTTTCCTCCCAGATTCTCCCCAGTTTGTCACCTGCGGCTTGTTTGCACGCATCTCCTTCCTCTCTCCATCTTTGACTTTGAGGTCCTGGAGTGCAGGGGCTGTCTTTTGCCTTTCTTTGTATGGATCCCCAGAGCTTGGCAGGCAGTAGGTGCTTAATACATGCTTGTTGACTGACAGCCAAGGGTCAGCGAGTGACAAGCAATTCACTTTCCCTCCCAGAGCCTCAGTCTGCTAATCTGTGGACAGGGTATTGGCCTGGATGGCCTCGGAGGTCCTTTCCCAACTTAAGTTGTGCGCTACTCTGGGCACTTGAAGTTGGAGGGGGTGGCGGCAGGCTGAAGAAACACTTCTTTTGGATGCCAGAGACTTCATGCTTCCGGTAAAGACTGGAGCTCTAGAGCAAGCCAAAACTGGGTTCAAATCTCAACACAACCTGGGCAAGTCATGGCCTTCTCTGGGCCTCAGTTTCCTCATCTTTAAAATGAAGGGGTTGGGCTGCATGACCTCTGAATGTGGGATCCTTGAGGTGGATTTACAAGATAATATAGAAGAGAGGAAAAGTAAGCTTGGAGATGGTTGGGGTGGGGGCGGGAGATGAGGAAAGGCCTCCAGAAGACCAGGTGCTTGTGCCAAGTCCTGAAGGAAGAGAAAGCTCCTAGGGGGCAGATGGCATTTCAGGCATGCACCACAGCTGATGCAAAGATGTGGACATCAGAGTCCATGAATCAGCACCAATCCTCTGGTCTGGGCTCCTCACTCCTTCTCTTCTGTTTCCTGGTCCAGCTTGACCCAGATGTGAATCCTCCAAAAACCTGTCCAGGGTTGGTCATGTCCAATCCCACCCAGAGGGCCACAAGACCTGCCTGGGTCCTTGGTGACTGCCCTTTCTTACTGTGAGCAGGTTCCCTTCAATGGAAGGTAGCTGTCAGATTTCCCTCTGAGGACTCTCTGCCTTGCTGGGGATTCCCTTTTCCCTAGCACTGAACTTGTATGAACTAAACCTTGCTCAGACTGCACTGAGCCAGGGGACACCATCTTGGTGTGGGAGACAGGAATTTGGGGAGGTGGGGGGGTGCACCATCTTGGGGTGGGGTTGGGGGGCTCTCCTTCGGAAGGAGGGTTAACTTTGGTCAGTTTGGCCCGAAGGTAGATCTAGGAAGATGCCCCTGGGAAAATCTTCTTAAGAAATGAGGCTGTCCCAGTGTGAAGTAGGCCTCCTCAGGAGGCGGTGTCCTCTCACCTCCTCCCTTGAGGTCTCTGGGCAGAGGCTGGGGAGGGCGCAGACCTAACTGGAACTCTGAGAACCAGTGTTCTGTGATTCTGTGTGAACCCATTGATCTCTCCTGCCACCTCCCCACTCCATCCATCCCAGACTCCTTGTGGGCAGGGGCTGTCCCTAGAGGGGCCCTGTCCCCCATCCTTCATGGAAGGCCTTAGGAGATTCCAGCCTCCTCTGTAGGCTGTTCTGCATACAGTAAGTGCTTAAAAGGAAGTCACTAGTTGATTGAGTGACGGATTCTCCCCTAAGGAGAATTAGGACTTGGTTGGTGAGGAGCGGGAGACAGACTACTTTTGTGCCTCCTGAGACAGGCGCAGGATCCGATGGACCAGTATGTCCTTCTGGGATGCATCTCTGCAGCCTTTGGAGGGCAGAGAGCCAGGAGAAAGGGAGGCAGCAGAGACCGTGGCTCTGGGGAGATGACCATCGCCTCCTGGAAGTGCTCTGTGGTGACGAGGGCGTGGAACCTGGGGGTCTCTTTCTGGGTCCTATTAGCTGTGTGACCTTGGGCATCATCTGCATCTCACTAGGCCTCAGTTTCCTTCTCTGTAAATCAGGGAGACCTCTCTCTGTGTTGTGAAGCCCAAGCATTTCAGCAGCTACACACACTCTAGAATATTGACATTACTGAGAGAGACCCAGGAAGCGAAGTTCTCTGGGAGCCAGACGGGATCTTCTCCTCAACATTGGCTCCATGGAAACCATAGTTCAAGGCCCCCTCCCAGCTGATAGCTTCTCTCCTCCATCCTCCCCCTGTCTTTACTCAAAGCTATTTCCCTCACCAGAATGTAAGCTCCCAGAGGGCAGGGTGTTTCATTTTTGTTTCTGAATGCCCAGAACCTGGTACAATGCTTGGTGGGAATGGAGGGAAGGCAGTCTCTGGGCTGGGCAGGACGTGTCCTTTCCAGAGCCCCTTCTTTTCTCTCTCTCCCCTCTCTTCTCTCTGGCTCTTTTTCTTTCCCCTTCCCTTTTTCTTCCTCTACCTCTCTATTTTCTCCGAACCCCATCCATTCTCCCCCCTCTCCTCTCCCCTTCCCTTTATCCCTCTCTCTCCCCTATCCCACCCCCATACTTCTCTCCTCCTCTCCCTCCTTCCCTCTCTTCCTCTTTGTGAAGGTTTGCAAGGTGCCCAGAGTGAACTGCTCCCCTCCACCTTCAGCTGGCTGGTCCTGGGTGACACTATCCATTAGGATGACCAAGCCCAGAGAGCTGACTGGCAGATCTCAGTCTCCCCATTCATCTGAATTGTTAAAGACGTGGCCTTCTCCAGAGTCAATTAGACCAGAGATTGAGCCCTGAGGGAACAGAAGGATGGGGTGGGCGGGGCCCCCTGGGTTTGTCCCCAAGACTTCACTAACATCCCCGGGCACAACTGGGAGGGGCCTTAGAACCGGGAAAGAGCCAAAATGAAACCTTGGAACAGATTAGAAGAGACTGAGCAAACTCTGAATTTGTGCCCCAGGGACTAGCACAGGGCCTGGCACACAGTAGATGCTTAATAAATGCTTGTCGATTGATTCATAGAGTGTAGAATGTCCAAGTTTTGAGAGAATCCTTGAAAGTCAATTGTCCTGAGGGAGGGGTCCTCCAATCCAGAATGTCTGCCAGCCAGGACTTTGAAGAGCTTTTGGTCCTGGGATTCTTAGCCTGGAGCCCATGAACTTGAGTTGGCCTGGTTTTTTCCCCTCTTAGTATTGTATTTCCATGTAATTGGTAACGCTACGCATTTTATTTTATGCACTTATAAAGCATTATTTGGAGAAGGGTCCTGAGGCTTCTTCCGATCTGACTGGGGGCCCAAGGTGGCAAACGGTTAAGAATCTTTGATATAGCAGCACCCCCCCATCTTACAAATGGGGAAAGTAAGGAACACAGACTGTCAGAGCTGGGAGGGCCCTTAGAACACAGAACACAGACTGTCAGAGCTGGGAGGAACCTTAGAACATAGAACACAGACTGTCAGAGTGGGGAGGAACCTTAGAACATAGAATACTTAAGCAGTCCAGATGTCACCTTAGAACAGAAAATCTAGAATGTTGGCATTAGGGGACCTGAGAACCCAGATCCTCAGGGTTTTGTCAGTCACCTGAGAGTCAGATGCAGCCCCTGCAGGACCCCTGGGCTCTTCCATCCAGTCTGTAGCCAAACCCTCCTCTATGAGTCATCTCTACCCTCAGGGAGTCTGTATTCTAACAGGAAATCTTTAGGAAGCAAGCTCCCAGCCTGGACTTTTGGATGAACCCCCAGTGGGGGAAGGGCTTGCCCAAACCACTTGTAAATTGACAGACTTTTTATCATTAACGTCATTGACATTTCCTGAAAGGATGGAATAATTATGTTTCAATTCTGAGTTAAATCCTAATAACAAGCCAACCAAAAAACCACTCCCATACTAATTGAGAG